AGCACCACCAGCAGTTCTGGATTGGTAAATACTGAGACTGTCCTCCTGTAAGAAACGAGCCCACAGGTCGTTTGTGCAGCAGTTAATTATGACTTATAGGTACGTTTTGTTGCTAGGCGACATCTAGTGGCCGTAGTAACACAGGAGCGAAGGGAGACGTGTCGGTGGTGGATGGATGAATATGACACAGGAGAATGGCGTGTTCGATTCCCACGTGAAAGTGGCAGTTTATGTTGTTTCTATTATCCATTACTGTAACCATGACAACAAAGGTCACCTAATGTTGAGGAGGTTTTCCTAAACCTAACCGAGCCATGATCTTATTATAGCAACCGTGTGTGTGTGGGTGGGGGGGGGCGAATTGACAGTCTCCTAAAAGGGAGATACGAGTTTTTCGTAGTTTTGACAAGAGCCATTTGTTGCTGCTTTGGCAGGAAGCACCTCTGTATGTGACGCCAGGGAAGCACCTTCAGACTGAAGTGAGACACAAAGAGAGAGGAGGAAGGGCGCCGTGGCTGTTACTTCTTGTTCTAGTCCACCACTCCTGGGGTCTCAGCCACGGTGAGCGGTCATACACACACACACACACACACACACACACGAACATAAACACCCCCAGACTAGCAGCAGAAATCAATTTAGCAAAAACAATAAAGAAATTATTTATAAGGGCAGACTCTGCCAAATTAGCTGTGGGACGCACTTAACTGCTAAAGCCGTATGAATAAGAGCTGTGGAGCAAGCACCAGGACCGTGTCAGTCATGAAGAAATGTGATGCTGCTGACATGAACGAACACACACACACACACACACACACACACACACACACAGCACCTGCAGTTTTAATAGACACAGTCAGAGATCTCCCAAGGCCCCTAACATGCAGAAACGGCTCACGCTACTGTACATACAGTCCAGTCCAAACACACACACACACATACACACACACACATACACACACACACACACACACACTGAGGGCAGCACTGCATTCGTCCTTCCTGTGGTTGCCTGTTACAGTTTTAGAGACCCTCTTATTGTCCAAACACAAAGGAGCGCTCACATTACCATCTATCAGTGTGAGATTTTGTGTATGTGTGGCAGATGGGACACATGTGTGGTCTGTGGTGGCAGGCCGGCTGGAGCCTGAGGTTGGTGGGAACCTAGGGGGGTCTGAAGACAGCAACACGAACACACGCATACATATATATATATATTTATATATATATGTATATATACTCACACACCTCATTTCCCATTAATAAATCACCAGCGTTTCGCCACAGTTCATCTCCCTGTGTCTCTCGAGGTGGGTGTGGGGGGGTTACAACGTGGTCGTTCTGAGGGTAAACTTTATTTTTAGTCTTTGTGGAGAGTGTGAGAGGAGCAGAGGAATGTGTTAATGGTGCCGCCACAGCTTCCTCCCCGTCTTCCCATCAGCCCTTTAATACACAGTTCTGAATGGGAAGAGAAAAATTGCTCGGTGGCGGGGTGGAGGCGGGCGGAGCCGCAGAACAACCCCTCCGGTTCGTGTCGAGATGTAAAATGGGAAGTTTCAGCATCTGCGTGTTTTTGATTTATGACATATGGTCTGTGCTATATGTGGTATATAATTGCTTTGCATTGTGGGACAGAGTGGGCTGGTGGTTAGAGACGCTGTCTCTCAACTGGACAACCGGGCCTCAAACCCGCCAGTCTTAAATGTGTTCGAGTGAAAGGTGAATTCAGCTCATCCTGACCTTTGACCTTTGACATTGTCTGTTGTTGCTCTAGTCCATGTTTAATTTAAAGGAATAGTTCAACAGTTTCTTGGGAGTGATGAGATCGATATTGCTCTCAAACCCGTCCACCAGTCATTTAGCTTAGCTTAGCATAAAGACTTTAAACGGGGGGGAACAGCTAGCTTCTGTCTATAAGGCGCCTCTAAAGCTCATTAATTAACCTGATTTATTTAGTCTGACACGTTGCGGTGTCACAAAGGTTTGTGTGCCAGACTATTTCTTGGAGCAGTGACTTCCTGAAGTTCCTTAAAAACAACCTTTTGGACTATAAGGTCGATGAAACTGACTCACTTCGAGGTTCATTTACAAGCTGTTCTGGAGCTTTCTATCGTATCGTATGATAATCATCAGCAGACAGAGGTGGTGAGTTGTCTTGGGATTATAGATTTACATTTTTCTGAGTATTTTAAAGACTTCTTGTTCATGTTAGCTTAAGAGTCAATAGATTGAAAGCTACTAAATGGAACTTGAGGTGAGATTGTTTTGTTAGCAGCTGAATTAATGAACTTTGAAGCTCAACCTTTTAGGTAACAGACATGAATTTCTTGATTCTGATCTGATCGAACTTTGAATCTCAAGCAGCCACGAGCCTGCTAATTTTCATCTTTAACAGCGTTAGAAGATGTTCATGTCCTGGATGAACAGTGTAGGACAAAGTAGGTTTTTTATGGCCAAACTGTTTTTGAGTGTTCTTAACTGACCAGGTCAATCACATGATCTCTGTCCAGATGAACAAGTTTTAGTTGCCACAGACCAGATTTAAGGCAACAAGCCCCTGAAACAGGAGAACAGTAAAGACCCAGCAGCACAGGAACAACACCAGAAACATTTATTTATCTGCAGATTTCAGCCACTGACTGTGAAGGATTTATGGTGGCGCTTTATTTTTCCAGGTCCATAAATTTTAATTAGTTTCCAAATAATTTCCCAGGAAGTTTCCTGGAAAGAATCACGTTATTTGGTGCTAATTATAGGTAATATATAACACATGTGATTAGTTGGTCTATTACTTACTTCTAAATGTGAAGCTGAGCTCATCCTTGACACTTTTAATCAGAGAATAACACATGAGCTGTGCTATAAAAAAGAAAATAATTCAGCATAAATGAAGGATAAAGTTTCCAGTAATAACACAGTGATGAGTAAATATTTACTGCGGTTTAAATGGAGCGGCTTCCTCTGAAAGTTCCCCTGAAATTAGCACCAAACGACGTGGTTCCTTCCGGGAAAGTTTAAGAAAATCTTAGGAAATAACCGGATTCACAACTAAACTTTAAGTATGATTGTTATTTTTTTATTTTAAAGTATCCAGCTTAATTTGATCCCGACAGTTACAGGGCTGTGTGTAAGAAGGTTACAGCTCCTATGCTGTTTACAAATGATACAGATGTTTACATCCTCAATGGAAAACTGAATCAGCACTTTAACTTCCTGTACTGGAGAACTGGGACAAAACAAAAACAGTGGATTCAGAGTGTGAGAAATGTTGTTTTTCATATTTTTCAAGTTTATATTCCTGTGGTGTCTGCTGCTTCAAATCACTAGCAGATGAGCTTTTTATCTGTGCGGCTTAAGAGTAATAAGAAGTCAGAGACAGACTGGCAGATAGACAGACAGGGTGGGTTCATTATGGACAGTTAATGAAAGAGGCCAACACATCAGTGAGTTTCCTGCATCGATCTCCCTCCTCCCTCAGCCCGTCTTCAGCCTCCGCCTCCCTCCTCAAAAACTAATGGGGCATTTCCTCCAGTGCCACACCACCCAGCAACACTGTTTACTCTTCGCTCCACTGGGGCACGCACAGACACACAAACACATGTGCACACACAACGAGATCAAACAGCGCTGTACACACTTACGCGAAATGAATATAATGAGTAAATAATAATGACAGGTGTGGTCTCTGAGGGCGGGGAAATACACTTTAATACTTCTTTGACTCAGTCGGTGGATTTAAAGCACAGCTGGATGCACAGCTGTCTGTCTGTACATGTACTGTACATGCAGTGTGTGGGCGGTGAGTGCCCCTGTTACACTGAACCTGTGTGTACCTGACTTTACATGTGTCCTGCTCCAGATTCGGTCACCCTCAACAACTGTGGAGGTGATCGGGAGACGGATTTGACAGAAATAAGATGTAAAACAAAAAAATAAAAATAAAAAAAAGGTGATTTTGGATGTGGAGCGGAGGTCAAAGAAGATCCAGTGATATCGTACTTTTTTACAGGCAGTGGTGGAGGAAGTGTTCAGATCCTTTACTTTAATAAAAGTACTAATGCTGCACTGTCAGAATACTTCATTACAAGAGAAATTCTCTATTTATAATATTACTTAAATGTGTAAAAGTATAATCAGGGAAAATGTACTGAAAGTATCTAAAGTAAAAGTACTCAATGCAGAAAGATGGCCCCCGTGACTGTTATTGACTTATTATAATATTTGTTGTTTTTATAACTGTCTTCAATGTGTGAGCAGCAGTTGACTGTTGCAGCTGATTGCTGTGGAGTTAAATTTGAACTATTATTTGCAATTAATGATTATGTTCTTGATTGGATTGATTGATTGATCGATTGATTGTGTAAAAACTGAAAATAGTGAGAAATGCCCATCACTGTTACCCAGAGCCAAAAGCAACACCTTTGCAACTTCAAAATTATTAAAAAATAAATTCTAATTGATAAAAAATTATTGGAAGGAAAAGCAGGAAAATATTTGAGAAGCTGGAACAATGAAAATATTTGGTGTTTGCATGAAAATTGACTCAGATGTTCATCAAAATAGTTGCCCATTAATTAGTCTGCCAATCAACTAATCGATTAGGTGACTAATTGCTTCAACTCTACTTGTACATTCTGTTGAGTCCCTTAATATTTATGGCAAAGCATCATATTTTAAAAACTCTTACACAAAAGTTTGAAGCTGTAAAGTACCTGGTAACTAAAGCTGACAGATAATTGTAGTTGTAGTGGAAGGATGAAGCGAAAAGATACAAGTAAAGTACAAGTACCTGAAATGTGTACTTGAGGAAATGTACATGAGGTCAGTTTCCACAGATGTAAACAACAACATGAGATGACGTGTGCGGTGAATCTGTTTTCAGTGTTTGCTGAGATGCAGTTTAGTTCCAGGTGCTAACACAACCCAGTCAGTGTTCTGTCACATCTGTCACATCTGGACTTTGAGATGCGAGGTGCCTGTTAACAGTCTTTGGTTCTTACCTGTGTGTCCTGCGGCAGGTGGAGGACGGTGTGCAGCCTCTCGGTGTGATGGTGCCTGGACTCCTCCTCGTACGCCAGGTCTCTGTCGGCCTGCGGCAGCGTCAGGAACCTCCGGATGGTGCACAGGTTCTCCCACAGAGTGCGGTTCTCCGGGCTGGGGTTCTCCTTCCACCGCAGCAGCTCACACAGCCAACCCTGGAGGAGAGACGCAGGACGACGGGGGAGAGAGAAGGTGAGGTTAAAGGAATACTTCCATATTTTTGTTGCTTTCATGCTGAGAGTTAGATTAGAAGTTGTTATTTTCCATTTTTAAGGAGCCACTTTATCCGCCCAGAAATAACACAGGGAGAAGAAGAGAGGCAACACGGAGCATGAGAGAATAAAGAAAAGTTAAAGTATGAAGGGAGACAGGAGGACACAGAAAAATGTGATCTACAGGGAGATAAAGCATCGAGAGCAGAATCAAATTTAGCAACAAAAAAAAAAAAAAAGTTGGAAATGCGTGAGGTAGACGGGGGAGGGGGAAGGAGAGACGGAGAAGATTCAATTATATCTGCTAGACTGGTTCAGTTTGTGACACCAGCTGTTGTGTTCAACCAGCCACCTCGGGCAGCATGCACCGCTAATAGCCTGATCATCTCTCTCTTCCTCTGCCTCTGTCCTTGTGGCCAGCTGCAGCAGATGGGTGCACTGAGCCGTGACCCCCGAGCCACCGCCAGACCCACCAACCTGGGGGTGGGTGGGGGGTGGGGGTGGTGGGGGGGTGGGGTGGTGGTGGTGGGGGGGGACCGACCTCGCAAAAACCGCACGCACATACTGTAATACATGATGCACACATCTCCGCGTGCGCTTTTCTCACGCTTACACCTGGTAGCTCGGCCACATGCTACTGTCCTGAGACGTCATGTGACTGTGTTTGAATGACTCACAAACAAACAAGCATCAACATCCTCTCTTCTTGAGTTTAGAGAGCGGGTGAGGGGGAGTTTATCTCACCGTCACTTTGAACTCTCTCAACAGCATCTTTGTCTCAAGCTGCCAAAACTCCGTATAATACATCGATATCCACAAACTCTTTTTGCCCTCAGCTACATACATGCTGCTGCTCTCCCCTCTGGTTGGTGCAGGTTACAGCTGCAGCCTGAGGGGAGACCTGCAGACACTACTCAGGGCTATAAAAACACTTCAATAATTAAATGCAGGTTATTATTTATAGTCATAGTCTCCTAAAGATGCTGAGTCAGAGAAAAGGCAGTAAAACTATCATAAAGTATCAGGTGTTAAGTGGTTTTAGTGTTTTAATAATACTGCAATTAATTTATATTAGACTACTGTTAAATTTTTCTCCATTATAATACTTATATTTAGTTATTTTCTGGATGTATATTAATATATATGAGGAAATGGCATCCACATTTGTTTTGTTTTGTTTGTTTGTTTGTTTGTTTGTTTGTTTGGTTTCTGTTTGTTTGTTGTGTTGAGACCAACTAACCCTAACCTACACACTTGTACAAGATCTGGGACACTTAAAATGGAGCCATTGCTACATGTAATGTTATTAATTACACCAGTGTTTTCCCTGCTGTGATAAAAATCAGAAACATCTCATGGATCATGTTTTTACATCTTAAGGATGAAAACATGATGCAGGAAATAAGTTCTAGTTTTAACGATGTCATTCGAATCGATTCTTGTTTGTCTGGTAAAGCAAAAGCTGTTCACTGTTTGCCCCCCCCCCCAGGTTGTTTTGGCAACACATTCATCAAGCAGTAAATATCTGATTGTCTTGACTTGTTCTGGGGATTTAAAATAAAAATGCTCCTTCATTCCTGAATTCAAATCCCCATTAATCCAAAACTGAGCGAACACTGATCTCAGACCTGATATTTTCTGGCTTCTGTTTTCCCAGTGACTCCCCCTCCCTCCCTCCCTCCCTCCCTGCCTCACCTGGCTCTTGTTGGCGGCCACCTTTGCGAACAGAGCTTGGGACACCTTGGCTCTCTTCATCTCCTGCTGGATTTCCTCATAGATGCCTGACGTGATGTTGACCAGCGACTCCAGCTTCAGCGGGAGGTCGGGGCCCGGGCCGGACGGCTTGGGCTGGAGGAGCAGAGGAGCAGAGGAACAGCGCATGATTTAATACACAGTGAGTACAAATTGAACGGGCTGTGAGTGGTTCATGTTTTAAGAGCAACAGCTATCAGATAAGCTGGGATAACGGGATTCAGCTGAGATTCTTTTATTATATTCTGAAACTACTAAGAGATTTTACCCGCGAAAGCGAATCTTGTGTATACATACGAGTAAAGGTTATCAGCTGATGATCAGGCCAAGCTGCTCTGAGAACAGACATGCAGTGTTCCCTGTATGAACATCAGCTGCACATCTGCAGCGCACGTCTCCACATGAATTTTGTTTACAGATCAAAGTCATTAAGTCCTTCTCTTTTGTCATTCTCTGTTGTTTCTGTTTGAATGAACATGTATTGGCTCTCAGAACGCTTGTATACACAGCGTTTGAAGTCGTCCACAAGACATGTACAGACCAGCTAGCTTACATTCCCTCAGTGTAAACGATGCTGAGATAATTTTACATAGACATAATAAGAATAGCGCGCACATTCGCCCCAGAGCCATGAATGGGCATTTGCTCTGACATCAGAGAGAACCTCTTATCATCCACGCCGCTGAATCGTCATGTGCACATGGAGAGAAACTTCCAAATACTGTACAATGTCCTTTATGTTTACAACATGCGCCCATGATGGCTTTGAAGCTGTTTTCTCTTTATAACTGGAATTTGTTTAAGATAAAAAAATAAAAAAAATCCCAGCACAGGCAATAAGACAAAGTACATGATGTGCTGCACTTTGTGAGGGCAAGTTACAGATCGGAGATAACTCACCGAGTTGGAGATCTTAGTCTTGTTCTTCCAGATGGAGGCCCAGGTATCAGGGGTTATCTGGTCATCCAAGCTCCTCTCCCACACTTTCTATGCACGGACACACACAGGACACGCGACGTGTTACAATCAAATGTTCGAATCGGTCGTTTAAAAACAAAAACAAAAATCCCTCTGTTTTTTCCATAAAAGCGAAATCCTGTCGTATAAACGTGTGATATTAGGCGGGAAAAGATGCCGCAGGTGCTGAGTGACTAACCTGCGAGAGGCGTGGCGCTCCGGGGTTGGAGGAGTTGGAGGCGGGGAGGCCGACCGAGGGGTTCATGGTGCGCTCTCTCTCCTCCTGGTAGATTCGGTCTCTCTCGCTCTCGGGCAGGTTGAGGAAGTTCTGCATTGCTTTCAGGTTGACCAGCAGGGACTGCGAGGCCGTGCGAGGGTCCTCCTCCTTCCTCAGGATCTCGGACAGCAGACCCTGAGCAGCACAAACACACACGTTCCACCCATGAAATTTTGCTGCAAGGAAATATTGTTGCTTCACAATCACTAACGTCAAACGAATATGTTGAAGTGGATCATCCCAATCCATGTTTACTCCTAGATGTGGGATGACTGAGCATTTGTTGTTGCGCTGCATTGGACATGAAGTTGCAACTGGGGTTAAAAGTTTGATAGAGCCGCACCACTTAGGGGCGGAAACTAACTTTTCTAAAAATTAGATCATGGGATATTTTCCCAGTAGTTAGTCATCTTCACTTTCTTCACACTTTTCTCTTCACTTTCCAATTTTTATTCTGTTTTCTGAGCTCCGTGTTGAAAAAGCTCCTTTTATATGTAATAAAAATCATTGAAAGGAAAAGCAGGAATTTGCTATCATTTTGAGAAACTGGAACAAATTAAAGTTTTTTTTGCATGAAAAAAATAAATTGACTAAAGTGGCATGAAAAGAAAATAACAAATAATAATAATAAAGTATCTCAGTACTAAAGCAAATGTGTGTCGCTCAAAATCCCAAATCAACCTGCTATTGTTTGATAAAAGTTAGTAATCAGTTTGATCATAAATACAAGCACTTACACACAGAGACACAGACACTCAAAACTCACTAAAAGACACCTGGCCTCTATACCAGTAGGTCTATGAGCCAACTCCCATTACATTCATCTAATGGGGCATATGGTAACCAGTTTAGCGCAGCCTGAATGCATCAGCTGTTTGTGCCGCTGCGAGGGCGGAGAAGGAGACTCAATGACCCAGCAAGCTACCCCGCCATGCTTCCGCTAATCCCACTGAAAATACCACAAGGTGGGTGACCACAGAATTAGTCAAACCCAGTGTGAAAAATTACAGTCTATCAGTGACGTCAGTCTATTTATTTCTGTCAAATCAGACCAAAATAAAAAAAGCTCTCACCTGATGCGACGTGAGGAACGGGAGCTATGATCAGGTGAGTCTAAGAAATATTGAGTCTTAAAGGGATGTTTAGATTCCTGTCTGACACAGTGACGCCACTAGATGCAATAATATTCATTTTCGGCTAATTTCTTCTGTCTGAGACTCTCCTCTCCTGTCCCTGATGCATCGCCTCGCCGCTCCTCTCCCTCTGATCATTTTACCACCACTTTCCCAACGGTCTCCTGACCTTCTGACCACAGTCTGTCCTGTTTTCCTACCTGTGTGCGGTTGAAAGCCACACGGGCGAACACGGCCTGGGAGACACTAGCTCTCTTCAGCTCGTCTCTGACCTGCTGGTAGATTTCAGAGGAGACCTCGGCGGCCGAGGGGTTGCTCCCGGGATGGTCGCCGCCAGCTTTGGATGAACCCCGAGGGATGGGCGGGTGGTTGAGGAACTGCTGGTTGAGGGCCTGCGGGTGCTGGTGGGCCAGCAGGCGGCTAACGGCCAGTTGCTGGTTGATGAGATGGGCCATGGCGAGCTGCTGACGTACCAGCTGCGGGGAGAGCTGAGGGGAGAGCAGCCCACCTGGCCCCAGCAGGGGCTGCAGGGCACCCGGCGGGGGCGGAGGAGGCGGAGGAGGCACCTGGCCCGTACGGAGGGGAGGGCTGTGGTGGAGGGGGCCGTGGGGCGAGGGCTGCTGCTGGGGAGGTGGAGGCTGCTGAGGTGGTTGAGAGGCGGCCTGTGGATCTCCAGATCCAGCTTTGAGGAGGGGACTACCAGCACCCAGGTGACTGAGCTGGGCCAGGCCGGCCAAGTGAGGAGGGGGTCTCTGGCCCAGCACACAGAAGTCCGCCATGTTGTCTCTCTCAACTGGAGAGGAGAGGAGAGGGTCAGGGTGATTCAGATCCTTCACTTCAGTAAATGTAGTGACACACTAACATAAAAATACTCCCAAATAATACATAAAATACAGAAGTATCCTCAGCAAAATGCACCTCAACTATTGACAGTAAAAGACCATCTTCTGCACCACAGTGGCTCCTGTGAGTGACATTATTATTATCTGTTATATTCTTATTGATTGTTACTGATGTACCAGAGAGGAAGTGTCTCTAACAACTCAGACATCTGACATGTGACAAGGAGCAACAGTACATTACGTTTTATAAACTTATCGTACTGTACGTTTTTAATGTAAAATCTTCATCTAAAAGTAATTAGTAACTAAAGTTGTCAAATAAAAATAAATGTTTTAAAGTAAAATACAATATTTTCCTGACATGTAACTTAATTTTCTACAGAAGAACAGTGTTTGAGTAAATTACTAAAGTACTTTCCAGCACGATATGTGTTCAAACAAATGTCTCTACATCAACACATTGATTAGATATTGATTAGATTTCTTACTTTTGATGTCAGCAGTGTCTCGTCCAGACCACATCTTCTCCAGATAATCTACTGCTCAATGAAACACACACAGAAAATCAGTCAGAGGAGAAACTCCTGAGGTCGTTCACACACAGACGAATTCATGAACAGAAAAAACTTTAAAGCTCAGATTTTAACATGGATGATCAATAAAGATCAACAACTTAACAAACATAAGAGCCTGGCAAACTTCGTCTGCTGAAGAAGATCATGTTTTATGACTCAAAGCTCCAGATCAGCTACTAAATGGACCTTGAAGTGAAACGGTTTTGTGAAGCGTTTCTCATCACTAAAACAGATTTATATGAAGCGGTCCAGCTACTCTACCCAGCTATGACTGACGTGCAGCGGGCCAATCGGAGAGCAGTGAGCCGTGTGTGTGTGTGTGTGTGTGTGTGTGTGTGTGTGTGTGTGTGTGTGTGTGTGTGTGTGTGTGGACATCTGGAACAGAGCCGTGTGCAGGGCCCCGCTTCCAGCTGAAGAGCAGAACTAATGCTGGAAACGCAGAGTGTAACCTAACGCTCCCCCCTCTGTCAGCAGCAGGCTCCAGCGTCACCTCACCCTCTCTCACCCTCTGAGCTTTTTAATGCGAAGATTATAGTGCAGCTTCCGAGGAGGTGACGGCGGTTGGGAAAGCGACGTCGTTGCTCTTGGCGCGTTACGTTACAGACGACACAGACGGAGCTGCAGCGGCTCCTGACCTTCTGTGCAAAGCCACATTCACTTCTACGCTTCCACCGTACGGCAGAAACGACAGGATAGGTTTCAATTTAAAGTTCAGTGCTGAGACCGCGGCGAGTAGGCAGTTGCCGTGGAGATAGCTTTGATGCGTGTGTTGTGCTGGAAAGCAGAAGACTCCTGAGCCGTTGCTGTTTTTACTCTCAACAATCTCCTCCAGCATCGGAGATTTTGAAGGAGAAAACACCAGCGCAACACAAACGCCCTCACGTGTTATCTCGGCAGCTCCGTCGCGTAGTTCAGTTTTTGAGGTGGTGCACGTTATCTAATGAGACAATGGGCCCCTGGGTGCACACACATGCGGAGGGGCCCACATCCCTCCTGCTGTACAGACCAGCGAGAGCCACAGACACATCTCTGTGGTCGTTCTGCATCTTTTTCTGGTCGTTTTCTTCTTTTGTGTCTCTACAGCTCTTTGTGTTTATTTGAGTCACTTCCCAAAAAGAAATGACTTCAAACAGAGACTCTGGCACAAGGGGGTGGGGGGGGTGGGGGGGTGTAGCTACCATGGCAACAGGTGTAAACTCCTGTAGCTATGTCGTGTCCTTTTGAAGAAGGACTGATCATACATTTATATGTGAGAGAAGTTGCTTAAAGGGTTTTGGGAAGCTGCATGAGGTCTGATCGGCCTCATCTGCCTCACGTGATGTCACCTGAGTCAGCGTCTGTCGGGGTTAAAGACTACAAGTTCGAAAAGCGAAGAAATCTGGGGGTGTGAAGTTAGAAACCTCAGACCTCTGTAACCCGCTCCTTATCTCTGCTCCTTATCTCTGAACATAACACACCTGAATCTCTAACTGCGCTGTCAGTGGTTAAGTTGCATTGTGGGTAATGTAGGCACCAGGTTTTGACACGAGAAAAAGAACATGTGGTTCTGTGGCATCAGTTTTTATCCTTTTTCAAACTGTAAATCTAGCCTCAGAGTTTAGGTTTGTATTGTTCTCTGACTCGGTAATCCTCCTGCGACCCCTTGTCGGGGTCTCGACCCTCAGGTTGGGACGCACCGGTCAGGTTTAAGAGACTGCAGTGAAGTTGGACCGGTGTCTACAGCTCTGCTCACCTTTGATTTTCTTATACTTCTTGTACCAGCGGCCGAACTCTTGGCATTTGGCAGTGGAGACGTTGGCATAGTAGGAACTGTTCACTATGGAGGAAATCATACTCTGAGAGAGAGAGAGAGAGAGAGAGAGAGATAATTAACAACCAGCATAATATGAAATGGTTACACTCACGCAACAACCACATGGCATGCACACACACACACACACACACACACACACACACAATAGAAACAGACAAACATTAATCATGATTGGAAGCCACCCATGGAAACTCGAGCCAGTGCAGTGCAGAGAGGGAATCTCCAGCCACACACACATATGCTTGCAATTGATGCTGCGATCAACACCCCCACCAGAGCTGCATTTAAACACACACACTCACACACACACACACTCATACACACACACACACACACATAAATCTCACACACAAGAGATTATGGGACCAGGATAGGAAGGTTAAACATGCAGCTGGGGAGTTCAACACGACAGGAGGAGGCAGTGTTTCGTTTTGTGGGGTGGAGCTTGATTCAAATGCAGCAATAATCAATAGTTTATGATTTTCTCTGAATCTCATGAGGGCTGACGTTAGCGTCGTTGCTAAGTATTTGTCGGATCAGGATGATCTAGTTTGGACGTGGAGTTGTTACCTGTGACAGAGGACACTCTTTGGCCAGAGTGCTTTGGTTCATCTCCTTCAGCAGCTCTTTGAGAGCGTTCCTGACCGTCGCGTGGTTCCACTGTTCACACGGCAGATCCTCCAGCTTTGAGAAACTACAACAAGCCAAAAAAACAAACAAAAAACACACACGCCAGGAGTCAGTCGAGGTGCACCCAACGCCTCAGATTTACCCCGTATCATTCTGCACAATATCAGCTACGTCCTGTCCTCCGTGCTCCTCCGCGGAGCCTCGTCATGTAGTGACTCTGAGTCTGAATCTGGTTTATATTTATGTTTATTGATTGTACAGTTGTGTTCAATTAAAACGCTTCCATCGTTTCTGTGTGACAAGTAATTAACACGGAAACCCTTTTGGGGAAGTGAGTATTATTCCATCATATTGGAACTTTAAGGCTGTAACCAACAATTATCGTCATCATCATCATCAATACATTTGACAGTTATTGTCTTTAATAATCAATGGATTGTTTAGATTATAAAACTTGGGTGAAAAAAATGCTTCATTATTCTTGTTTTATCTGAGAGTTCACCGTCAGAGAAACCAACAAATATTCACATTTGAGAAGCATTTAAAAAAAAAAAAAAAATCAGGTATCAAAATTGTTTGCCAGTTAATTTTCTGTCAATTGATTAAAAACTCGTCTGTTTTTACACAAATGAAACAAACAAGTTATTACATGTTAATTCATGAGCTTTGGATGTGCCGCTAGATTAAATTTATTACCTTTAGACGGATCCAGTCTTGCTGTTTCCCGTCTTCATCCTGAGCTAAGCTAGCCGTCTGGTGTGCAGTAGCTTCATGCTGCTAGCTGCTGCTAACCTCCTCAGTCTGTCATTTTGGTGCTGCACAGGAAGCTAAGCTAACCAGCTGTTGTCTGCAGCTTCACATTCACTGACATGAGAGTGGTATCAGTCCCCTCTACTAAATCTCAGCAAGAAAGTGAGTTTGTAAAATTTCCAAAAAAAAGTCAAACTGTTCCTTTCATCCTGAATTAACCTCTAACCCCGCTGCTCTCCCAAACATCCTGTATGGATCCATCTTCCTGTAAATCTTCCCGTTTTTATGTCATTTTAACCTCAAATAAATCATTTCGACACTGAAACACAAAGTGTGCAAACCTCTGCCGTTGCCACGGATACACACACAAACACGTAAACAAACCTGGCTGGTATTTGCCAAGACAATAACAATAATAACCCTCTCATCTGGAGTTTATCTGTTTTTATCTGTCCATCAAGATCCTGCTTCACTTATTCTAGGGAACTAGGAGTTCCTGGCACCCGGACTCTCCCTGACGGAGACAGATAATAGATAAATCCCCACCGGGTTGTTCAACTGGAGCTTTAGTGTTTCAATATTGCTGCTTTCAAATTTGATAGATATGGTAAATTCTTGACTTGCAATCAGCGGCAATGACATCAGCCACCCGCTGGACCAAGTGTCTGATTCAGTGCAACAGTGTGTGGATTAAAAGCCTCGCTGTGTTGCCTACATAAAATATGGACGTGCAGTCTTTCCACTGTTGTTTTCAAATTCAAGGGAGGAGTAAGGTTGAGCGAAAAGTCACTGATTTAGGATGTAAACATGTCTGCTCTCTCACTCTGAAACACCACGCGCAATTTCTCATCATCATCTCACAAACGGACCCGAAACATGTAAAAATTCCCACTTTAAAAAGAAAAAAAAAGCAGTCTGACCTTTGTAGTTGAATACGTAGCGTGACCATGTGGTAGACCTCCATCAGCATGTCGGCAACCGTGGCCTCTGGGGCGTCAGTCAGAAAGTGGATGGGGAGCGGGTTCCACCTCCCCACTTTAATGATACCTGGGCAGAGACATGAGAGGTTTTATTCCTTTATACAAAAATAAAAAATGGTACAAAAAACAAAAAAGTAAAGTAACAACAGGAGGAAAAGTCAGTGGAAAAGAAAAACACTGGCCCCAATAATCCGCTGTGTTCTGTAACCTGTCGCTCTCTAAGATGTGGCACCTTTCATGTCTCAGAAAATGAAGTTGGACTTGGTTGTTTCTGCTTTGGACGTTATGTTTATGTTTATTCACAGACGCTTTTGCAAGTGTGCTCGGTCAGAGAGTGGATGCATTTTAAATTTTAATTTAACTGGCTAGCTACTAGTACAACTAGTGGAGCGGTGGGAAGTTTATTTATTCTAAAATATCAGCAGCGTCTTTGCTTTTCTTTACTGAAACCCTGCCGTTACTCAGAGTGACTGTTGTTAGTTTTCATTGGGACTGTGACACGACTGAATCCTGAAACACACGCCGCCATCGGACCGGATTGAATCGTATTTTAGCTTCATATTTGCTGATATCTTGTATAATCTCAGGCGTATGTCAGTGCAACAGCCACCAGAAGTTCTCCAAACCCACACACAGAAAAGAGCTTTGTGTGTCTAATAGTGTGTGTTTGTGTTTGTTTGTGTGTGTGTGTGTGTGTGTGTGTGTGTGTTTTTGAGTTAGTAGGTGTTTGTGTTTGTGCTGTCACACCATAACTAAATATCTGTCTCTTGATTTGAATCAAGTCTAGTTCAGTTTTTATTTTTTTTTCACAATGACGACGACCTGAAAAATCACGAGACAACACACACAAATCGACGTGTACACTTCACCTACTCGATCACCACCACAACACACACACACACACACACACACACACACCAACAAACACACACAGACTGTAACGTACACAGACACACACTCACATAGGTTTTTCATGGGGACTGGCTGGAGCTGTGAAAACTAAACAAAGCTAATCGCATTACTCTCCTCTAAATGAGATCCAGACGGGTCCCAAGAAGTCTCTCTCTCTCTCTCTCTCTCTGTCCCCTTGTTCCTCTCTCTCTCTCTCTCTCTCACCCCCTCCTCCCTCCATATCTTCCTCTCTCCCTTTCCTCCTCCTTTCCTCAGATTTCTCTTTGCTCCCTCTGATCTCTCTCTTTCTTTCCTTCTTTCCTCCACTGTGTTTATAGCTCAGTTATATCTTTGATTCCAGTCAGGCTGCGTCGGCCTGTGTTCTTAATTATCTGGTCATAGGGGGAGCATCATTTAATCCACTATGAACAGAATGGACTGGAGCCCTCGGGGCAGGGAAGAACCCCAGAGGAACTGGAGACCACCGTGGAGGCATTTAAAAACCCAAACAGAACCAGCTACAGTTATATTAAAGCAGTATAGTCATGAAAAGATTAGTTTTCTATCTATAAACAGTGCCCAACATGTGAAATGAAATAATGCACATGTGATAACATGCAGAAGATTTGGGTTTGTGTCGTGGGTTTTGTGAGGGAAGATGTCACAAGAAACTCTTTAAAGGGGAGGAATAAAATACTCCGATTATTTTATGACAGAGAGAAAACACTGAGCCCATCCTCCTCTCCTCCCTTTTCTCTCTGTCTCTCTCTCTCACACACACACACACACACACACACACACACACACACACACACACACACACTGGCTATCTCCAGCATGCAGCATCTAGAACATCTGAAAAATAAGCCATAACAATTTCACTAATGCCAAGTTGGGTGGAAGCAAACGCATGAATAAGCAGACAAACACAAACTCACAGAGGACACATGACAGCACACAGAGAAGTGGACACGTACATGTACCAGCTCGCATGCAAGCACACACCCCCCCACACACACACACACACACACTCACACACACACACACACACACTCACACACACACACTCCCGCTCGCAGTGTGATGGTAAATGTATTAATAATTGATCCATCATTTTTGGTTTGCTGTTCAATGGGCTCTGCTTCTTGTCCACATTTAAAAGTAGAAATCATTGTTCCCATTTCCACATTAAAATTCCACCTCCCAGAGACAGGCTTTCATGTGGCCGGCTGGTGGCTTGGCTCATGTCTGAATGTGCCCATCCGCACAAACGCAAATCCACACACAAACACCCACTGATGTCTCTGACTCCTCTCATCAACACTCGCACAGGCCTGCACACACGCGTGCACGCTCGTTACACGCGCTAATACGTGCGCGCGCAGTAATCCCATTGTCCCACGCTAGAATAAGTCTTAATGGTCGCAGCAGCCTGCACACGCGTGCGGGGCTTCTTCCAAACTGGTTCCAGGTTCCACCCCAGACACACACACACACACTCACACACTCAAACACACTGAGGGAAACCTCATACGCCTGACTCACAACTATCATCCTCCACTGCACCCTGAGAAAGTCTGCAAGATGATAATCTGTCCTGCTGGGAGTCTTCTTCTTCTTCTTCTCCTTAAACTTGTCTGTAAAATGACGAGCGAGAGTTTCTCACTTCCAGAGTTCTTAAAAACAGATCTGCAGCTTTCTAATGTTTGTAAATTTCACTTTATTAACTGGTTATTTGACATTTTAATGCTTTATGGAGCAGGATTTAAACCATAAATAATATCGACTTTTGGGACTAAAACTTTCTAACTAAGTCTCTCTATTAACATTCATGAGCCGTACAGTATATAAACAGTTTATAAATGGTTTATAATGAATGACAACATAATAATAATAATATTAAATGTCTGTATAGTAGAAGTTATAATTGCTGACAGATACTGTACATTAATAAACACTTAAAAACGTCCTTATAGCTGCAAACAACTACATTATAGTAAATTATAAAGCATTTATTACATGTTTATTAAAGTTTTGTCTTTTTAGTTCACTCTGTCATTTATTAAAGAGCCCTCCACGGGACCTACCATTCACCTGCTGGAATAAATCACCTGTTTAATCACATTTATTTATTTTATTGAAGTCCTGACTCGATGAATTATGTTAGAACATGTAGAAGAACCTCTTGTTGATAACTCTGTGACTTTCTTCAGTTTGTGTTTATTTTAAAGACGATCAGTCGAGTCGTAAACATGACAACAGGGGATCTATCAGCTGCGTCTTAGTTGTGAGGTGAATGGAGCACAAACAAAATATAGTGCATTTAAACTGTAACAATAGCAAGTAGGTCACAGTTGAACCAAGAGGGTGATCAGTGAACTATGATCTCCCGCCTGGTTCTTCTTTAAAGTTCGATCCACTGATTTCACACATGAAGTTCAGTCGACTTCTGACCCATAGAGTTTAAAGTCGTGGGTATCTCGTTTATTATAACGCCTACTGTCCCACCAGCTCTGTGGAAGTGAACCCTTTAAAAAACCTCTATGATTATCTGACAGCTCCTGTGGCACCATGTTCTCAGATCTCAACAACGAACTTAAAAGGAAATAACAACAAAAACTCTCGGAAGATAACAAACCCAAATGAGCCTGAACTGGCCACTGGGAGCACTGGGAGAATAAAACAACCGAGGGCGTCAACAGTCACTCGCTGTGCACCGAAGTATCTCTACCAGAGCTTCATGGACAGAACAGAAGTCCAGTCAGAGCGTTCAAAGATTTTATATATGGATATTTATTCCTGTAGTTTTAATTATGGAGGTGCAGTTGTCTAACTCCTGAAACTGAAGACACTTGAGCTGCTTCAAACAAATCCACACGAGTTACTGGATGTGTTTTTGAAGCAGCTTTTGTATATAGCAATAAAACTAAACAATATGTTACTGGCATAAACAGTAAAACATCTCAACACAACAGTAACTATATACACGGGTCTGTTGTGAATATGTGGAGACCGGCCTGAGCTGACGTTACCTGCCGGATACCCAAGCTCTAACAAACTACAATATCCTGTAAAAGACCAGAAGAAGAGGAAAAACACCAGCAGCCAAACCCTGGAAATAACTTCTTTATAAAGCTTTGATAAGTCTTTTATGAACAATTAATGCCTTCAGGAGACGAGACCGGTAACAGCACGGCGCCCGAACTCAAACTACCAACCTCTGACGCTCGGTCAGTAGACGACATGTTCTCCAGCAGTGACCCTTTGTGGCCTGTTAGACGTGGCACTGCAACAATGCTCTCTCTCTCTCTCTCTCTCTCTCTCTCTCTCTCACTGACCACTGTTAACTGTTCACTGACTAAAGCCGTAAAGTACAGGTCTGCTCCCATCCATTCTATAAAAGCCTTCAGACCCTTATAATTGAAATAAACAATATCTCCCAGTTAATTACTGGGCTAAGCTAATTAAAGAAAGGCCATGGTCCTCGGCGGGCACTTTAAATACACCGCTGGGACACAAGAATGCAGGACACAATTCAAACAGGGAGAAAATAGCTGGGACTCTGTGTAATTTTGGTTGTGGACCGCAGGGGAAAAAATGTATAATTTAAGCCAGAAATTATTCATTTAACATAAACGCTTGTTTTAAAAAACAAAAAGTATTCATTTGAGAGAAGCGGGGGGGCGTGTGTGTGTGTGTGTGTGTGTGAGAGAGAGAGAGAGAGAGAGAGAGTGTGTGTTCAGTCTGTGATACTGCACAAAGTGGCTGTGAATCTGCAGATACACCCTGGCACGGGTTAAACAGAGTTTACAAGTGCGCGCGTGCCTGCGAGTGAAGAGCGCCCGAGCCGGTTCTCAGAGAGTTTTGTTTGTGTCGAGTTGTGATGTCCCGTTTAGTTTTGCCTTTGAAGCCCCTGGTGTGGTGTTTTTTTCGAGAGGAGTGCATTGATGTGGACTGTGGGGGGGGGCAGTGTGGCTCGCTGTTTTCCATACACACTGATGAGACAGACAGAGAGAGACCTCCCCTGATACTTGGCAAAAACATTTGAGGCTAAAAAGTGCTACTAATGGCATTCATCTGCAAACCGTGGCAAACACTCGCCATACAATTTACTGGGCTATTTTAGGCCGTCACTGTAGGATAATGTGCATCTGCGTGTTGTTTATTTTTCTAACTCGCTTTAACAGGCTGTCAATTGCAGCTCTGAATTTTACAACCAAAAAAAAAAAAAAAAGGCATAACTGCAACATAATGAGGTCACAAGTATGAGTTAATACGAGGGTTATGTTCGTACTGGAAGCAGAAAGAAACCAGTAACAGCTCATTTGCATTACATCTGAGTTTATCAGATTGAAAGCCGCCAGGCAGCTGAACAACACGGAGGGGTTTCCCTAGCAAACATGAACGTGGTAAATGGCTGATTGCAAGATATTCTTTGTATTATTCTGCTTTAAATAGTGTGGCAGTCTTATATTCTTCAGAGTCTCACGTGTTGAGTGATTGGGGATGTGGTGCTGATGATATTCGTGTTGGTCGTATTCAAGATGCATCACTGCAGCTAAGTCCAGTGGTAGATGAGCTAGCTAGTTAGCCAGATTGTCTAAACCTGCTTTATTTGGAGGTAAAACAGGAGATAATTTGCCAACTGCGTGGGAGAGCTGTTTCCATGCACAGGTGGGAACAAGCTAGGTCAGCGTGTGACGTCTGATGGGTGAATTTCTCCTCAGGTTTCATTTGAAATAAGTCGAGCTAACCTGACGGTTTATTTTAAACCGGTCTGATTGTCGGGACACTCGTGTTTCTTCTCCCTTTTAAAGCTGCTTCAGTAACAACACATCAAACGACGACGTGATGATGTGAAAGGGGATCGCTTATAGTGACGCACCTACAGAGAATTATCACCAGATCCTGCAGCTCCACTCAGCTTTACAGAGCGTCATAGTGAGACTGTTTATCTAACTTTACTGTTCACTGTCCACCACCTCAGTCAGAGAGCAGCTGGAGAACGCAGTGGAGCATTTAGCAGCTAAAGAGCCAGAGATTTCCTTCAGCGGCTGGTGGAGACCAAACACAGAGCTAAAAGAAGGAGAGGGAACACTGGACTGAGAGTCATCAGGCGACACAGACACTACAGATATTAAACTGTTTACCTACGAGTTCACCATTTCAACTTAGATACGTCGAGTTGTTAACACCTTGTGTTCACTGCCTCTGAATGGAGCTGGAGTGGCATTTGTGAAGTTAAACTGACTGACTTGAGACCAAGAAACCCTTCACAGACAGACGATCCACACACAGAAATAACACGACTACAACAGACCTACAATAAAAAACATTTACTAGAGTCATAAAACATCTGATAAAGTTTTTAAATCTCTAAAACGACATGAAGGACTCAGTTCACTCCATTTAAAAGGTGCAAAAATATCTGAAACCAGCTCTTACAAGATCAGTGGGGACTGAGGGGATAAATAAGATTAAGTAGTTAGAGGATCGAGTTGTGAAGTTATAAGATTTAATGATAAAAGAGAAAGAACGTGCGACGGATTGAAGCGCTGCAGCTGCTGGATGTGAGTCGGGACTATTGAAGGAAAACAGATCGTGGAGGTCGAGAGTACACGGCCTGCTTCAGGTGGGCTGGAGGCCTGATAAGAGCTGCCGGCCTTGAGGCAGTAAAGGGATTACCTGTGGCGGTGTGTTCATGTGACTGAGAGGACACACACACACACACACACACACACACACACACACACACACACAGATGGGGATCTCTGTTGTTCCCTTTTACATGGATGTGAGGCAACGTCCCCACATGGAATATTCTGCACGCTCGAGAGGAGACGGCAGTAAATGACACTGTCCTGCTGCAGATGACTTCCATCTGTGCAACAATAAATTACAGTTTTTCTTTTCCTCTGCTTCATAAACATTCTCACACATACTGTAGCCTCACACACACACACACACACTCACACACACACACAATGTATTTTTGTCTTGCGGAGACATTCCTGTCCAGCTCTTTGTTGTGTCTCTAATGAGTTTTACAGGCTGTGTCTGTGTCTTAGTTGTGTTTTTGAAACATTCTTGTGCTTATTACCACTGTGTCGGTGCAGTGTCGGCTCTAAATAGACAACCTCACATCCAGTTTTGTTCCCAGGCCGCTGATTAGAGGGAGAGCCTCCTTCTCGTCTTGACCCCTGAGCTGCAGCGTGTCTCGCTCTGAGTCAGTCCTGCCACAGTTTACACAGTGAGAGACACTCGGTGGTTGGAAAATCATGACTATTAATAATGGCCCCTGATGAAAGTGTCGTCATGCTAAAGAAAAGGAGCAGCTTGACCTCAGACGTTTAGCTTTTTTTAGATGACGGTATAGTAACAGGGTTTAAAGACTAGACCCTCTGTTTCGAGCTGTAGGACGATGTCTCATTGTTTTTATTGAGTGCACATTTTTCTGTGCTGTCACACTGTTGTGTCCACTACTGTGACGTGGACTTTAGCCGCAGTGACTGTCTCTGCTACCACCGCTGCTCCAGCGAGCTGTCTGCTTCTTGTTCTGTTTTCTATCTTTCTAATTTCAATTTATCAAACGATCGCCGCCACCGAAAACACGTCATTTGAGGATCGAGGCTTTCATCTGTGCCCATGAGGTGAGTTCAAACTAAATGTTACAGCATTTAATTCATGACAAAGCTATTAAGCAAACGAGTGTCCAAGGACAGATTTGAAGGAAAAGTTAGACACTATTTTAATGAGAGCTAAATGAGACCATTGCTGGAGCCAGAAGCAGGCTAGCTTAGCTTAGCATAAAGACTGGAAACTGGTGGGTAAACACGTAGCCTGGATCTGTCAGAAGCGAACTAAACCCGCCTTCTACCTCCTCTAAAGTTCACTAATTAACACGTTAGCAACACAAGAACGAATAATAGTTTTTCTACAGATTAAACAAACCAGATCCAACTTTAGTTATTGAGCTTTAGGTGTGTTGGTAGGTAAGTTTTGTCACCTGTGGACAGGAGAGAGAGGAGAGAGTGGCATCGAGCTTCTCACCTACATCTAACTCTTTTCTTATTAACTCTTCCTTTAAGGATGCAGCTTCATTAGCACAGAGTAACGTGCAGCTTTAGAGATGATGAGCCTGTAGCTCACTATGATTAAAGGACACATCTCCCATTGTGCATGTGTACTCTCAGCGCTTTGCATTAGGTCTCCGTCCCTGCCCGACACTTTAAATCCTGATTCGCAGATAAATTTCATCCCTGTAGTTTTGAACTGACATCATGTTTTATCAGTTGGTGGCGAGCGTGCGTTCATATGTTTGTTTACTTATGATTGAATTACAGGAAGGCTTTGGCTTGAAAACCTGAAAGATTAATTTAAAATCTCTTTCAGATGCGGCAGCCGTGGTGCGACGGCGCTCGTGGCGTCTCCGACTGACCGTGGGCTTGTGCGGCCGAGCTGTGGGAGTAGCCGAGGGCCAGCAGCGCCGTCTCCACCAGCTGAGAGAAGAGGATATCCTTCCTGACCAGGACGAACTCCGCGTGCTCCTCTCTTCCCTCACATCCGTCCGTCTGAATCCCTCCGTCCGACTGCTCCACCACACAGAAGACGGGAATCATCAGACCTGTCGAGGAGACGGAGAAAACAACAGGAAGATTCTTTTAATATCTGGCTTTTATTGTCCGTGATCACAACACAGTTTATCCCTCACAGACAGCAGACATGTGGATTGTATTTATTGCGGGTTTGGTCTGTAATCACTTCAACCTTTCTGTTTTACACTGTTGAATATTGCAACACCTGAAATTCTCAACATGCTACAATCAACCAAGGATGTAAAACAAACGATATGCATTCCTGAGTCGACTGGAACAGTGTTGTTCACTGTCCACTCGACGTTTCCAGGCATTTTACCTAACAGTCTATTAGATAGGCCGCCGTGACAATGGCTCCCCTGACAGATATGCAAAGTCTATACAAATACACAGAACACCTACACTGAGAGCAGCTGCTACTTTCATTAATGGCTTTTCAACAACCAACAAAACTGTGACTGTTGAGTTTAAAAACTAAAGCAACGCTAAATATTAATGTTCATGAAGTTGATACAGAGGAAAAATAAATGTCTTTAATCTACATGATAGTGTGAGTCCTTCCTTCAGTATGCAAATTCAGTCCAGGTGAAAACCAAACCACTTTAACAGTGTGGGTGAAACCAACTTGCAGCAAACACACACACACACACACACACACACACTCTGTATCAAGGATTAACAGAAACCTAATTCAAGTAAATCCGGGGAAGATTTGAACCTTTGTGTTTGGACACGTGGCTCTGCCCCGGTGCCTCGTCAGGCTGCAGCTTCTCATGTGGTCGTCTAACCTGAACGCCGCCGCCGCCGCCGCCTTCACAACAGCTCACAGGAGCATGTTGTGTCTGAATGTGACTGAATCCATCACAGGAATGATTCACGTCACGCTCATTTATCTGATCGGCCGCCACTTCCGCTAATGTTCGGTTCTGTTCAGGCAGCTACAGCCAGTGAAGGGAAACAGCTGACAGTTGGTAGGAGACAACTCTACATCCTGTCCCTGTCTCTAGTGACGGACAAATGTTCATCCCCGATTGACAGTTGTCTCACTGTACATTCGATCACCAGGGTTAATTATATAAGTCGATAGATCAGGTTCTGCTGGAGGGTAACTAGTTCCTATGACGTGTCTGATGTTCTTCTGTCGGATATTGATTTTAAAAAAGAAACCTGTTCACGCAGTCCCTCCTGGAGGACATTCATGGCGTTGAGTTCCTCCGTTCACATGAGAAGTGACAGACATAGTCGCGACAGGAAAGAAAAAATAGATCTTGAGGGAGAAGTTCAGACTCTGACCTCAGCCGACCGCGTTGTGAAGTGGGTGTGAATGTCAGATTGTTGATTTTGGACGGTTACAGTTCTACGCTTTACATCTCTGCTTCCTTACTTCCTTGTGTCACCTTGACGTGTTTTTATTGCTTATTTATTAGGATCCCTGTCAGCTCTGTGTTGCCAATGTTGACAGGCACTTGTTCCCTCTCGGTATCTGTTTACACTGAGTGTCCAGGTCCAACATTTCCATCCCTTTGGCTCCCGACACTAATATCAATCCTTCCTCCAATATCAGCCTTTTTCCTAAAAGGCTTTTGGTTTTGGGCCACGTGTCAACTGGCAATTAATTAAAGCTCTCTGAAGAAATGATGGACTGTGAGCATTAGGCAGCGTCCCAGCACTAATAATACAGGGCACGGCAATGTGTTTTACCGCATGGATACCTCACAACACTACACACACACACACACACACACACACACACACACACGTACATATGCCTCCTTTTCCTCAACACACACACACATGCTGCTCCATACAAACACCCCTCCCTCCTCCCTCTCCACACACACACACACACACTCACACAGATCCATCCCACCCGTTGTTTTAATCAGTCAATTCCTATATTTCTATTTCCTCCTCATTAATCACTCTGCTCCCAGTCCTCCAGGCTCTCATGGAGTGAATTACACACTGGAGCACCGTGCCAATTCAAGTAAGTGAATTTCCCCCAACAGGGAAATATAACTGTCAACACAGAGCAGCTCCCTCCGACCAGCACTCCTCTCTCTCTCCCTCTCCCCGGCTCTATCTCGCTCTATCCTCTGTCTCCACCTCAGTCTGTCTTCTCTTATATCCAGTGTCCTGTGATTTGCCCGCCGACTGTGTGATCTGGTTTGGATGATGTGATGTTGCCTCAAACCTCTAATCCCTCTAATATGTATTGGGATGAGTGAACGGGGATATTAAAATAAGCTATGTGTGTGTGTGTGTGTGTGTGTGAGTGACTGAGTGTGTGAGAGAGTGTGTGTGTGTGTGTGTGTGTGTGTGTATAGAGTGTAAGTGAGTGTGTGTTTTGGCAGCATTTCTTGGGTGTGAGTGTCACAGCGTAGACATTTGTGACTGTGGACATATGGCGTGTGTGTGAGTATGTAAATCTGTGCATGTGTGTGTGTGTGTGTGTGTGTGTGTGTGTGTGTGTGTGTGTGTGGGGGCGCCCTCCTCGTGGCAGCGGTGTGGTTTGGAGGAGACACGTCGAGTTTCCTGTCTTCAAAGACAACCCGTCATTATTACAGGCCAACCACCCGTTCAGCACAGGAAACCCCTTCCTCCGTCCTCCTTCCTCCCTCGGCCCCTCCCTCCGTCCCTCGTCACTTTTCTCTCACAAGTGTTTTTCTTTTTCCTCTTTTTCTTCTTTTTTTTTTACATTTGAACACTCATTCATTCTCTCACATTGACACATTGATTCCTCCTCTCTTCTCGTTGATTTGTAAGCCTCTTTAAAACCAGACACAAGTCCATCTTTACAAACTCAATCTGTGCAGCCCACAGACATGTTTTTTTATTCTTCCAGAAAACACCCTGAAATATTAAAGCTCCTCCAGTGTAAAGGTCTGTGTCCATGTGTAGTGTGATTATAGATCAGCTCTAGCTTCTATATTAATACTGTGAAAGTATCAAAGCCTCAGTCCACAGAGAAATGCACACAGCCTGTATTCAGAAACTGAGCCTTAAAACCAGCCGTCAGGACTTCTGGAACTTTGTGATGTCACAACAAAGCAGTCACCAAGCCCCGCCCACCTGGACCCACCATCCAAACCTTTGCAGGATTTGGTTTCTCTGAGTGTTTTTTATCTGAAATCTGCTATATTTTTATTGGATCAGTCAGAAAATAGTCAGCCAATCAGAAGAGAGGCTCAGAGCCTCCTCTCTTCTGATTGGCTCACCGACCTGTTGTTACTAGAGCTCCAGAGAGAAGCCTGAGAGAGGAGATGTAAAACTACACTGAGATGGTTTTTATATCTTCTAATGGATCAACACTTCAAAATAAAACACAGAAGAAGAAGAAAATATGGAGCTTTAAAATATGAATTTTAAGAAAAATTTGTATCAAATCCTCCACAGAGTATCTAGAATATTTCTGTTTGATGTGATTCTTGTGTTTGAATTTTTCATTGAATGTAAAAATGTAAAAATCAGAACTCTGTTTATGATGAGAAATCAAAGGAAAACAGAAGCAGAAATCAAGAGTTTAAGACATTTCTGCAAACACATGGCAACACAAACACCCAGAGGGATAAATGCACACACACATGCACACATGCACATAAACAAGAAACTTTCACAATGAATGCAGGGATCGATAACCCAGAGTGAGTTGTATAAATCTTGTTTATATGGAGCAATCTCCTTTATTTGGTAAGCCTATATTATACAGTTCCCCCCTGACTTATAGATTAACAGTGTAGAAACAGCTCGGGGGGGTTCTGCCTGCAGCGCTGCCACGCTACGACACAGCGAGCGCACCGAGCCAAACCCCAATCACAGCCAGGATGTGGCTCGTTACAAACGCTGCCTCTGCGTTCAGTACGTAAGAGCTCGATAAACCTCCGACACCCTGGGAGGAACGGCAAGAGCGTGTAGATGTGTTGTCATCCAAAAGAAATCCAACACTCCTGTAATCTGTGCACTTTGAAAAATAATTATTACCTTGTTGATTTCTTAAGTGGAAGGCTTTTTTTTTTAAATTATTTTTTAGCCATCAGCCATATTTTAAAAGGAAGTATCATTAACTTTTCATCAATCAAGTTTTTATCCAAATTTTGCCAAATTTTCAGAAAATTTGACAAAACCAAATGCAAGTGAATGTGCGTCTGTATCGGCTGCTGTCATGTGAATGTTGGGAGTTCAGTGCATCATCGAGAGAAACAGTTGTTGCTGTGAGGAAGGCTGAAGTCTCCTCATCAGATCCGATGTGTTTTGTTCCTTCAGTGGACGTTTAAGTCGCCTGCTTCACGTTCACTGAGTCTGTTTCTGCTGCATTTGGTGCGTTTTTTTATCGCTACATCGACTTTAGTTCAGGGTTTTTGCACTGAATAAAAATGTGCACAAAAACAGAGGATGGACACATAAGGACAAGGAATGATCCAGTCCACGTATGAACACCTCTGATCGCGTTGCTTACCTCCCAGGGGTCTCGGCGGCGCTCCGTTGTGGCGTATGCGCGGCCCTGTTGGGCTCCCGTTGAGCTCCAACCGGCCCTTCTTCCCCGGCGGCGGGAGGCTGAGGCTGAGGTCCGGGCTGCCTCCCCTCCGCTCAGGACTATCCTGGGTGATGGGACTCTCCCCTCCTCGCTCCATCCTCCTCCAGACCCCCAGAGGAGCTCCAGCCAGAGAGAACGAGTCTGGAGAAATTGAGACAGGGACACAAGCCGTCAGTGTTTGTGGGATTCAAAATAAACTGTCGGCTGCTGTAAATGCTCACCAGCACCAAACGTGTATTCATCCGTGGCTGAAAATAGTCCCAAAAATAAGCAATGTTTACTCCTGCTTCACTAACATTTGCCAGAAACTACAGTGCCCAGTTGTTTAAGGACATAATTAACCCTTTTAAATAAAATGCAACTTTATATTTTAAAGGTTTATGTCTTCAGTAACCAACAGGCTCGTATCTGAGCGCTGCAGACGGCGAGGGGAAGTCGGAAAGTGTTGAGCGCACAGGAGAATGTGTTTGGTCTTTTCCATGGAGTTTGTTGACAATAAGAAAAATATAAAATAGCAGCAGCTTTATCCTTTAAGTGGAAGAGAGAGAAACAAGTGGTGAGGCTTCAGTAGAGAGGGAAAAAAGATGAAGAGACAGACGTTCATTGGTGTCTGGAGCGACTGTAAACTCGGCAGCAACAACGTAGGAGCCGTGTGTGTGTGTGTGTGTGTGTGTGTGTGTGTGTGTGTATAATATGTGTGAATACATATAGATGGGCACAACCCCCAACATGTACACACACAGAGTGTGAGCCTCGTGGGTGAGTCGTCGTCCCCTGATAAGGAAGCATCAGCCAAAAGTCTAATACAGGGTAATGCCATTAGAAACGCTGCCAGGAGCGACAGGGGACGCACGCCAAAGTATCAAAGAGCAGCCAGCTCGCTCAGGCCAAATGGACTGCTTTTATTTACATACGAGCCCCTGGACAATATCTGCCAGCATGTGTGACCCTCGCTACACACAGAGAGAGAGAGATTAGAAACACTGTCCGTGGAAAAACAGAGAGCGGAGAGAGCGAGCACGGGAGGTTTTACTATTAGAGGATGGAAATCAAGTTAGTGACCAGATCTGTGGAAAAACAGCGAGGGTCTCTGAGCCGAGTGTCAGCGGCCAACAAGGCAGCAGAACAAATGAGGGAGAATCCGTGGTTATTGTTTGAGTGTGGCATATTCCACAGCGCTTGATGAGAAACTTCAGCCCCCCCTCGTCCCACCACCCCTCCCTCACTTTTTAATATTTCTGCAGCTTTTACTGCTGCAGCTGTCGTAACCCACACAATGTCTTGTGTGGTGATGTCTCTCCATCTTCCTCCTCCTCTTTCTTTTTCTCTTTCCTTCTCGCCTCTCCTCTACCTTGTGCTCTCGTTCTTACACAACAACAACAACAACAACAACAACAACAACAGCCCACACAACACCATCCACCACAAACACAACTCAATCTGAGAAGTATTAAGAGATCAGGCAAAATTTCAAAATGAATAATAAATTAAAAACATTAGCTTTGGTGTGATTAAAATGTGCGGGAGGCGAAGGCCCAGAAAAATGCAAGTGGCAGAGTTTAATAAAAGTGGCTTCAAAAAGAAAAAAGAAAAGAAAAAGAAAACAAGTTGAAAGAGTTACACTGAGGGGAAAGCAATGGGTTTAAATGTGAGTACAGTGGAAGCTATAATTCACAGTGTGAGGCTCGCTGAGGAAAAGGGAGGCTCTGCAAATAAATCTAACCGCTAACAATGTTGTAGCTACAATAAAGAACAACTGAATATAATAGAACATTGAGAGAAATTCACTGGCTGTTGTCGGCTGCAATTTACAGCCGGTGCACTGCTCCTCAGAAGAGTTTCTGTACGTGGACGTGAACGTCTGACACTGTTCAATTTTTCACGTCTTGTTAAAAAATTATCCTCCAAAGAATCTCGTCTTTATCACCGACAAGTCCTGTCCCGTTGTGTCGCCCCCCCCTTGATCCCTATCTGACCTGCCCTCGCCGACATCTCACCATCTGACCTGGAACACACACACTCACACACACACACTATAACAGATACTCACACGTTCCCAGCGTCATCTAATCTCCCAACACATCCTGCTTCAATTACGTTTCATTTGGTTTTTCTAACCCAAGAGACGAAGAATGTTATCGTGCCGTGCATTTTTTATTTTTTATTTTTTATTTTTTCACCTAGTGCCATCCCACAGATAAGACGTCCCACATCAGCAACAGCAAATATTACCACATCCGATCGTTACCAGGTCATGTGCGGTCAGATGAATTGTTTTTTTTATTGTAATGACTGAATGAAGAAGGAGTGTGTTTCCACTGTTAGAAAGTCAGTAACACTTTACTTTAAGTTCCCCTATTCAGCATGTGTGAGCTTTATATAAACACGTAGGCAGTTGTGAGTAGATCTAAGTGTTTGGCTCCTGTGGACGCCCAGAGGTCGAGGCTACACATCATGAAATCACAAAGACTTAATATTAGTTTTCAGTTGTAATAATTGACAAATACTGCACCTCAAAAAACCCTTGATTTAAATACTTTCTGGCCCTGAACAGGCAACATGAGGCGGTTCATTCACACACATAAAAGTCTAAAAACACAAACACAGCGGTGTTAGAAAGAGCTGAAACACACCAAGATTAATGGCAAACAGCACGTTCTCGCTGTCAAGTCGTCACATTCAGACACAAAGGCTCAAATTAAGCCAAAAAAATGTCAAAAGGTGCAAGTGCATTTATCATCTATACACTTATACCCTGGTTGTTCACAAGTGTAAAGGCTTCTGGAATAAAAACAAACTTCCGTCTCTTTGTTTGACGTGCAGACGATGTAAAACTCGTTCTTATTTTTGCTTACAACTACATTATAGTGTATTAAATAGAGTTTATTAAATGCTTCTGATGCCAAATTACTTATTGGGGACTTCAAGTTAAGTGCTGCAGTAAAGTTTTAAGGTGTGTTTGCAGGTGATACAGAAGTAGTAGCATCAGAAACGTTTGACTTGAATAAAGGTTTGCGGTTCTGTCTCTGCATCAGGGTTTAGTTAACGTGCACGTGAGGAGTGACATGTTGACATGCTGTAGTACTCTGGTGCCAGTTCAGTTTGATGGCAGGTGAAGTTGATTTGAGAATTTCTGCTTCAGACTACGTTTCATCAATTTGTCAATCGTCAGAAATTTGACCAGAGACTCTTTTGATTGATCGATTAATTGAGGATTTTCTGCTTTTCTGTGTCTGATGTGACGGTGACCTGAACATCTTTGTGTTGTTAGACTGTTGGTCGGACCAAACGAGACGTTTGAAACTGTGACGGGAATTTTTGTACACAAATAATCAATTAATCAAGAAATTAATTGGCAATTTATCCAATAATAATAATAATCATTAGCTGAATTTTCTGCGTAACGAGCACTTTTACTTTGGATACTTTAAGTACATTTATTCTGATGACTTTTCTGTGAAGTAGGATTTTACTTATGTCATGGAGTGAAGTCAGTATTTATTTATATATCTCCACATCACTACAGAAGTTACCTCAGGACACTTTTCAAATAGAGCAGGTCTAGAACGTAATCTCTATCATTTTAGTCTGTTTTTAAACTGTGATATTGATGCTTTTGCTGAAATAAAGGAAAACCTGCTGCTTTAAGGATCAGAAACTTTACATTTGTATTATTTCTAACAACTGGCATCTTATTTTAACCGTAAATGACTGTGCAGGACAGATGTTTGGATAATATAAAGACTGTAAATGTGCAGGACAGTCACTGGAGTTAAATATGAGGGAGTGATTGATTAGTTAGTGATTTCTCTTTGTGTCTTTGTGTTTTTTCATTGTAAAGCGCTGCAGATATTTGAGATGTTGTCACTGACTGTGTGTGTGTGTGTGTGTGTGTGTGTGTGGGGATATCACACGTTCACAAACACATCCCTGGTCACAGACTGATAAATGCTAATCTGCTTTATGCAATTATTACAGGTGTGTTGGGCAATAACCTTTTGTTGTGAGGACGGTCCTTAAACAAATTGATAACTGTATAATAATATACACAGGCACATCCGTGTTAATGGCTCTGGCCACTAAACTCGTAGCTTTGGCAACACGGATATCAGTCTTCAAACGACCAGATCATTATCGGCCACATCCTAAAATCATCTGCGCCGCATTGTTGGATAAGGTGTGCGTTAGTTGAAGCAGTTAATAAAGACGTGATAAGAGGAGCTGTTGCATATCTGCTATGGAGACGGGTATCAAAATATAATGTCTTTTTGATAAGGAGACACATTTCCCAATTTATTGCTTCTCTGGCCAACTGTCACAGCTCTCAGAGAAACTCCACAATTAATTATTAAAGGTTTTCTTTTAAAAACCTGATCATGTTTTAAAACCCTGCGGATTGACTGATCAGTGCAGGTGAAAACAAACAGATATATTCTTAATAAAGACGTAATGACACAGTCTCAGCTTCTGCTTTGACAACGTCAGATACAAAAGAAGGTAGAAACGCACTCCGCTGTGT